TGAAGAGAATGAGATCAGAAGCACAGGCAACTTTGGAGTGGAAAAATCATAATCTCTTCTTCATACCTCACAACCAGTGCCATTGTGCAGATAGGAAGTGATTGGTATAAAGGAAGAGGTTTTGGCAGGGGAAAGCTAGAGGCCTCTCTCCTCTGTATGCTGAAGATTGTCCATGAGAACATTTGGCCTTGCTGAAGGTCACATCTGCTCTAATCTATTCTGACTATAATTGAAACTGAAAAGTTGATTTTTGTGCTTGTTGTTTCAAAGGCAACAAATATGTGTAATAGATACTTTGGATTGTAATCAGCTGTCTACGAGTTTTAAGATAATGGGAGTAATGGGAGTGTGCAAGGAGATGAAGAAAATGTCTAACTCTTAGGGACTCAATGTTCTGTTGACAAATGCAAAGATTCCTGGAAGGTTCTAAGTAAGAGAAACTTGAAAATGTTGCAACAATATTGGACTTTCTGGACACATAGGACCCAGTCGTGGAGATCTGTAGGGTGGCAACTGTCTGCCTATGTACTTGCAATTTCACAATAAAGGCTTTGATTTGTAAGCCATGCAAATAAAATGTTGTCTCCACTAAGCAAACGATCATGTAAAAAAAAAAAGATTCTGCTTTTTTTTGATGGCTGTAGGATGACAATACTTTCTATAATTATAGCTGAGAGAGCCCCCACACTGAAATTGTTTTGGAAATATGATTCTTTTTGGGTGGTTTTGAGCTGTATGAGCCTGAAATAATTCAGTTGCTTTTTAAAAAAATGGAATAGTTCATGCACTTGACTTTTATGAATTCAAATAGGCTTACTCATTCTCCTACTGAAGTTAGTGACAAAACTTCCCCTGGTTTGGTTCAGGATTGGATCCATCACTTGTCTGCAGTTATTAGCAAGAAATGAAAGCTTTGCTGAGTCTGAACAAAATGCCTGAGGAATGCAGAACCTGCTTGTGACATCAGATTGTAAATTCAAGGCAAAGTTGTTAGGTCAAATTCTGAAAAATACTTTGCACTTACAACTCAGTGATAATTGGGGCATGCCTATCAGGTATATGAAATCACACTCCATCTTAAAGAGCATTTATTAAACAACAGGAGCAAAACAACTACAAACAATACAGAGAGAAAAATAAATTTCCACACATCTTCAGTTCCAACTTTATCACTCTTGTTTACCAGAGACCTCATCCACTCTGGAATGCTGTGTAGCATACAGGTACAGTTAGTGTCTGAATAATGTACTGAAAGTCAATACTATCATTATAGTGCTCAGTGTCCTCAGATTAGTCCCTTTGTTTGGCATCTTAACCATTATCTAATCTCTGTACACTTACAGATCATTATTATCCACAGCTTCATATGCACAGAACGTCATTTTCCTTATCTGCTAGAAGGCTCAATTGATAGGGTTGTCAGATGGTTTCAACAAAAATACTGGAGTTAGTTGACATTACATCACAATCTACATTACATCTTATTTGGAAAATACCGGATATTTATATTTTCTCTTTTAGATTTTTTCAATTTGTTTCCCGAACAGAAGCTCAAATACTGGACTGTCTGGTTCAAAACTGGACACCTGGCAACCCTATCAGTCCTGCAAGGTGCTGTGTGTCTTAGCTCACTTCCAAAAGGAACTCAGCACCTCACAGGACTAAACATTGTATGCTCAGCAAGAGTGAAATTTATTTTATCTGCTAGAGTAATGCAAAACAATTCACATATTGGGCTCCTGTCAGGAGGAGTGTGGGAGGCAAAGTACCCATTCTCTCACCCTGGAGTCAAGACAGAGGGATGCAATATAGCCCTTTGTGGGTAGATTTGATAGCTAATACTAAAGTAGATAAAGCATTCAGATAGGGCCTGAATCAGATACAGGCAGTCCCCGAGTTACGCGGATCCGACTTATGTCGGATCCGCAGTTACGAACGGGGCCCGTCTCCCTGGTCTCCAGCAGACCAGGGAGAGGAAGCAAAGCAGCGGAGCACACAGGCAGCGGACAGCCCAGACGCGTCTGGGCTGTCCGCTGCCTGTGTGCTCCGCTGCTTTGCTTCCTCTGCCTGGTCTGCTGGAGACCAGGGAGACGGCCCCGTTCGTAACTGCAGATCCAACATAAGTCGGATCCGCGTAACTCGGGGACTGCCTGTACTTTGACTTCAGCTATACAATTAACGTAGCTGAAGTTGTGTATCTTAATTCAATCTACTGTACTGGTTGAGTATCTTAATTCGAACTAGTGAACTTAATCCCCTAGAACAGGAGCAGATGTCTCTGATTAAACCCATACCAAGTAACTGAAATAGTGGGCTGTGCACATGAAAGTTCATGTTACAGCGACATTTTTTGTTAACTCCAAGGTGCTGCAAAACTATTTGTTATTTTTTAAGTTTCTTCTGTTGTAGGTAATTAAATTTGAAACTATCATTCCTACAGCACAATTTTTACAATACTCTTCTCCATTTAAGGAATGATTTCGAGACTTTTTTGTAGTATGATCTTTGTTTGACCAGAATCAGTCCTTGAAGATCAATTTTTAAAATACAGGCTAATGACCAAGCTCCTATGCAGTCTAGATATCCAAGAACACTGTTGAATCTGTATGTAAGTCAGAACTGGCGTCCAGATTCAGCCGCTGTTGAAACTGATCAGTTTCAGCAGGGGCTGAATCTGGACGCCAGTTCCGACTTACATACAGATTCAACTTAAGAACAAACCTACAGTCCCTATCTTGTACGTAACCCGGGGACTGCCTGTACTGGACAGAATGGATCACCTGACATACCATCTCTGGCATGTAACATGTAGTATATGAAATGTAAGGCATTGTTTTGGGGAATATGTATTCAAAGAACCGTCCTCCTCAGTCAATGAGTGACTGTTAGACCTGGCAGAATTTTAATTAACTTTTTTTTTATAACTTTGAAGGATAATAGTTTATATTTAACAAAAGCGGCAAGGAGTCCTGTGGCACCTTGTAGACTAACCAAAGTGTTGGAGCATAAGCTTTCGTGGGCAAAGACCCACTTCGTCAGATGCATCACTTCGTCTTTGTCCACGAAAGCTTATGCTTCAACACTTTGGTTAGTCTATAAGGTGCCACAGGGCTCCTCACCGCTTTTGCAGATTCAGACTAACACGGCTACCCCTCTGATACTAGTTTATATTTAAGCATTTTCTCAATTAAAATGTTCGCATTTGCACAAAATTATGGTTTGAGGCACATTTTTAGATTTATCTATTTTAAATTTTCACATTTGCAGGAAATTATGGGTGGTCGGACAATGAGGGGACAATAATTATTTTATGACAGTAGCTGCTGAGATTCAAAATGTTAAAGCATTATGAGCATTAAAACAAAATTGTCAACATCACATGTCCAAATATGCAAATACCCTCAAATCAAACTCTAAAGCATTCTCCAACAGCATTTTCCTTGTTTTGTCTTCCTGTACATTTTGTTTATGATCAATGGAAATGTTTTTCATTGGTTCATGTATGCATGGTGACATTTACTGATCTAATCCAGTGGTTGCTGTCTCAGGGGACACAGTGGAGATAGGGCACAAGGGAGCATCCAGATAAAGAGGTAGATAACAGTTGTGGGGAGAGAGCGTGACACAGTCAACTTTCCCATCTCTTCCTTTTCCCCTTTGGTAATCTTCCCTTATGCAGACACTGTTCCCTCTGCAAGTGATCGGTGGAGTCACTAAGATGTGACAGTGGGGAGTGCTGGTGCTGCCATGAGAATCTAGTGCTGCCAGGATGGGGAGTGCCGGGCTAGCTCAACTTTAGCTTGGATCACAAGTGGCAGTAGATAGCTGTGCCTCTAACCTACGGCATCAGCCCATCATTATTCATTGTGAATGCAGGGCAGCACTTAAGGCCTTTAGGACTTAGGTGGGACTGAAGTGACGTCAAATGGAAAAATCCCAACCAAGGGGTTTCCACAGCTTCCCTGAGAAGCATTGACTATCTGAGGGAGAAATACTTTCCTCTCCCTATGTTCTTTGAAATTCCTATAATTCAGTAAATGAGATTTTTCTGAGATTTGCCTTGCTGCTTGTTTGAATTCATGTAACTCATGAAGAGCTTTACTGTAAGGGTACGTCTAGACTACAGGCTTCTGTCAACAGAAGTTTTGTTGACAGATACTGTCGACAAAACTTCTGTCGACAAAGAGCGTCTACACTACATTGAGTTCTGTCGACAAAGCAAGCTGCTTTGTCGACATGGTAGTGTGGACGCAAAGGACAGTTTACATGCAATAACACCTTCTGTCGACAGAAACTCTGTCGACGGAAGGCGTTATGCCTCGTAAAATGAGGTTTACCAGCGTCGACAAAACTGCTGAGTTCTGTCGACGTTATGTCGACAGAACTCAGCGGTAGTGTGGACGCAGGTATAGTTTTGTCGACAAAAGTCCACTTTTGTCGACAAAACCTTGTAGTCTAGACACACCCTTAGTGTTGACGTAGCTATTTTCTGAAACAGTGGCATGTCCAAGATCCTAAACTTTATTCTTGCTGTTAATGATCTTTTTTCTGAGTAGGAGGCATTGATTTATATCACAGTATTAAGCTAGGTGTATGGCTGGTGTCTTCTGAAAAATGAAGCTGTTTGTTCGGTCAGCTAATGTCTCTGTTGCATAGGTCGATATTATAGATTTTGTAGCTGGTGCAATGAGTTCAGTTTCATAGTACGCATTTTTCGGACCATGTATTACCTAATATCTGAAGTATAAATTTCACATGGCCTCATTGTACATTTTATTTAGAATTTTATATATACATGTTGTTCTGTTAGCATTATTGATTTTACTGTGCAGCAAGCAGATAAAACTAGAAAGATCCAGCAGTCAGTTTGTAGAGCAAAAAAGGTGTGAAGTGGAAAGATTTTGTTTGTTAACCGCATCAGCAGTATGGTGTTACTGTGCAGCGATGACATTTCCTGAGCTACTGATGGTTTAACTAATTATCCATCATCTTTCTTACAGGTCTCAACAAAAAGATGGGTTGCCAAAGACTTCTCAATCTTGGAAACCAACTGTTTCGCCGGAAAGTTGTGGATTGTAGCAGAGAAGAGAGCAGGCTATCAAGGTGCCTCAACACTTTTGACTTGGTAGCTCTTGGTGTAGGTAGCACACTTGGTGCTGGTGTCTATGTACTGGCTGGAGCAGTGGCACGACAAAACTCAGGACCTGCAATTGTTATCTCTTTCTTGATTGCTGCATTGGCTTCTGTGTTGGCTGGACTTTGTTATGGAGAATTTGGTGCTAGAGTTCCAAAGACTGGATCTGCTTATCTCTATAGCTATGTGACTGTGGGTGAGCTGTTGGCATTCATCACTGGATGGAATTTAATTCTTTCTTATGTGATTGGTAAGTACTGAGGGGCATGTAGAAATACAGTAGCATACATCCAAACTGCCAGCCTGATTTGTTCAGTAACTGTCACTTGCACACTCAGATTGTTATAAAAATAGAAACTACAGAATACCTCACACCTGCAGCAGCTTCCCAACCTGAGCACTTCAGAGCTTGTTCCAGAAATTCAGCAATGCAGGTTCACATCATTCTGTGAACTAGGTAAATATTCTAGGTCAACAGTTTGGATACGAGCCAGGTTGTTACATCTGCTCCTTTTAACTACCATGTCATATGATATGTGCAATTCTGGCTTGAGGCCCTGCTAGCTCTCTACCAGGAATCAGGATTTTCCTTCTGCTATGGAAAAAAAGCTGATGCTTAGCTTGCGGAAGGGGAGGGTGGGTGTCAGCTTCAGCATCTATACTAGTGTTTGCTGATTAAGGACCCAGTCCTGCTTCCACTGAAATGAGTGAGAATTTTGCATTGACTTTAATGGACACAGATTTAGGCCCAGTGTTGGTTGCAGCATTTAGGCCCAGATCTTCAAAGATATTTGGGTGCCTACTTTCCTTGATTTCAACCTAGTGCCCAATCCAAAGCTCTTTGAAGTGGAAAATCTCCTGTTAACCACAGAAGGCCATATGAGGCCCCTGAGTGGACAACTCAGTTCATACTTCAGAGTTTTAAAAAGGACCATTTTGGTTAATTAAAGATTTGTCCATTTAATTGTCATCAAACACTTCATGTGTATTATGGGGCCATTTGTCATGGTGCCGGAGCTCAGGCAGAAATTACCATACCATTTGAGAGAATTGCACTAGCTACAATGAGAAACAGTTTTCTATTAAATTATTAAAGAGTTTTTTAAAATTATATTTTATGGGTGATATTACCAATAAAACTGAAACTGATTCCCAGGGTGCCTGGCAGAGATCAGATAAAGACTTGGTGACATATGTGCTGCTTGTCTTGGCTAGTATTGATTGCATTCTGTATGTTATATGAAACCTCTTTACATTCTAGATTTTGTATATGAAATGAGAGAATGCCAAGGGATGATGCCCAGAAGTCAGCAGTCTGTTATGAATTGGGTTGATGTTAGGAATGGAATAATGTAGTTTTAAAAAACTCCAAACAAACTGACTCTTTTTTCTCCCCATCCCGATTTTCAAAATAAGTTCCTTTCAAGCTGATTGTCTCTGTAGGAAAATGTTAATTACCTCTTGGAGATGCACCCTCCAATGTTTAATTGTAGCAATAAACAAAAGGCTTCTGCAGTCTAGCAGTTCTCATTTATTTAGATGCTGAACTTGTGTAGCCCTTATCATCGTAGTATGAGGGAACTAATAAAACAGAAACTGTCAGGGACATTTAGGGCTAACAAGGGTTGCATCGTCCTGATCCTGCAATCACATTCAGTGAAAAGACTCACTTGAGTAAAGTTAATCATAGGATCTGGGCTTAGATTGGCATTTTTGATACCTTAATTCTGCTTATAACATTCTTACTACACCGTAACCTTCATATAAATGGCTATTTAGTGTGATTTATTTTAATATGGCACAATAAAAACAATAATATTTGTATTGTGTAATATACAGCTAGTCTTTAAATTAAATTGAACTATTACCATAGGACTGTGAAAGGAAAACACTTATAAACTACCCTTAAATATACACAGCTCAACTATTTCCCTGATAAAAATATCTTGCTCAAATATTACTTTTGAATTTGTTTGAACCAGCGTTCTAAACCCTGAATGTTCGTGTGTGTGCATAGCAGCCACATCCCAGGAGGAGTGCTATAAAGCATTTGTGACTCCTTGAGAAAACACACACTTTTTACTTCCTCCTTGCTCTGGGGGACAAAGTAATGTACTGCAGTGCATTGCAGGGTGTAGCCTCTTACTCTCCTTCTCATGCCAGGTTAGTCCTGCAGGTTAGAGTTGCCAGGTGTCCGGTATTGTACCAGACAGTCCGGTATTTTTGCACTCTGTCCGGTAAAATAATCAGAAAATATCGGACATGGTATGCTGTCCCAGCGTAGGGTTGCCAGATCTCCAGGGTTGGCCTGACGTCTCCAGAAGTAAAAGATTAATCTCTTTGCTTAAAACTGCGAGGAATTCTCTGGGAATACATCCAACCAGAATTGGTAACCCTATCCCTGAGTCATGCAGCCCAGAACCAGAACTTGATTTCTGTGTTTTGACATGGTCCTGCCCAATTTGGACTGGGTGGTCGCCCTACTCCAGGCTCCTTCTTTGCCAGCTTGTTCACAAGATGAAATAGTGACTTGTATCACCAGACCCCCCCTGGGATTGAACCTGCGCAGAATGGGTCTTAAAGCTTGACTCGTTACTGCCTGAGCTAAAGACCTTACCTAGGTTCACCTAAATCAAGGCTGAAGCAGGTTCATCATCATCTGGTAGAGAGGGGTGATGACTTGCTAAATGGATGTAAGTAATATGGAGCTTGTGTAACCCACACACTTGGGCTACATCTACACTGCAGGCTTCTTGCGCAAGAATGGCCATTCTTGCGCAAAAATTTGCGGCGTGTCTACACTGCACACACGTTCTTGCTCAAGTAAATTTACAGTAAAGCGTCGGAACAGAGGGCTTCTTGCACAAGAGTTATTCCTCTCCCCATGAGAAATAAGCCCTCTTGTGCAAGAAACCCCTATGGCTAAAATGGCCATCAGAGCTTTCTTGCGTAAGAGAGCGTCCACACTGCCATGGGCACTCTTGCGCAAAAGCACATGGCAGTATGGACGTGCTTCTGTGCAAGACCGTTTGCGCAAGAGCTCTTGTGCAAAACAGTTCTTGTGCAAGAAGCCTGCAATGTAGACGTAGCCCTAGTGTGGTTCACTGTCCCATGCAGTGGTATTTAGACTGCTTACAGCGAGAGATAAGAACAAGAGAGCTCTACAGCCTAAGCTGAGAACTAGCTGGCTTTATAGCTCAAGATATAGAGTCTCCTATATTAAGTTCCAGAGATCCCTGGTTCACATACGCTGGGCGGAGGTTACACTTGCTTTCCCATTGTGCTTGAACTCAT